CAATCGGTCCCGACTGCCTTATATGAAGGCTGAACCTGCGATGCTAGACGATCAGTGCCGTAATGGATGTAGCCGAAGAATAGTAACGAACCCGAAGTACTGACCAGTCAATTCTCGAGCTTCCGGGCGACTCGGACAGAATTATGCCGAGACCAAGTCCACAGGGAGCTTGCGGTGCGAGTCGCAAGGTGAGTACAACTCCCAGAAGGCCAAGGGGACAGCGGGGGGTCGATCAGACGGATGCAAACTATATATCAGTCTTGCTCGTAGCCGATACATGCAACTCCGACGCTACGCTATGGCTACGCTATAGTGACGCTATGTCGTTGCTCGACACAAGGTTTTGGAAACTTTTTTATCCGCTATAGCGCCGCCATAGCGGCGCTATGGTGTCACGTGAATTTTCTGTAGCCGCTACATAGCGCGCCGGAACGATAATCTAACGTTCCCCTAGAGCCAGAACTCTGGAAACTGAAATAGAGAGAAAGCCTGAGCCATTAGAAGAAGTCACCGCTGCCGACTTTCGGGGTCCTGGGGTCAAGCACATCTCTGGTCTGTGCCGACCTCCCAATGCCATCTAGTGTATTGTATCTGCCGTAAGGAGTGCCTCCACGCTTGCCTCGACAACCGCCTTGCGGCCACAAAAAGCGACCACATGTAGAAAGCATGGCTTTTGTGCATGAAACGTGAATGAGGGCCCCTTTTGTGCGTCTGCTCGGTGAGCGCCGAGCTTGATTGTCGGAGTTTAAACGCGAGACTGTATAGCAAGCTCGTCCGGATCGCCCTGTTTTCCTCTAACCATCATTCAAGGTCGGTCCCTCGTCCCCGTCCTCCCCAGCTCTGTTCGTACTCACTATCTGCTATGCCTAGGTCAAAACACATTCAAAAAATCCTAAATTCATAAAATCCAAAAAGCAGTTGCTCTGTCGCCTCCTGTGTGAGTATCGCCATCAATTTTCGCCACCTCAGGACCCTGTTCCGCTTACCGTTGCTCGTCCCAGTCGCAGAAAAGTCCACAAAGCAGTAACGACCCCATACTTCCCCGAAAAACACAATGTCCGCGTCTCCCGCCATTGCTCCTGCTCCGGATGCCGCTGTCCCGCAGCATGTCGAGGCCGCCGTCCCTCCCCCTCCGGCCCCTGCCCCGGTCGCGTACAACCCTCCTCCCCCGGCGCAGATAACCCCCTCTGCGTCGCTCTACGTCGGCGAGCTCGACCCCACCGTCACGGAGGCCATGCTCTTCGAGATCTTCAATATGATCGGCCCTGTGGCCAGGTGCGTCTCAGCCCTAGGCGCGTCTTATCAAGACGCGGATCGTCTGACCTCCTGCGTTCCTCCCTCAGCATCCGTGTCTGCCGGGATGCTGTCACTCGTCGCTCTCTGGGCTACGCCTACGTTAACTACCTCAATGCTGCAGATGGTGCGCGATTTTCTTCATCCTGTGGCCCTCATGCTCCGAGTTTGCTCACTTTCAACGCAGGCGAGCGCGCGCTCGAACAGCTCAACTACTCGTTGATTAAGGGCCGTGCCTGGTGAGTTTTGGGGTGGCGTCATGACGCTGTTCACGCGGTGCTTAACTGCTATACCAGCCGTATCATGTGGTCTCAGCGTGACCCTGCGCTCCGCAAGACTGGCCAGGGCAACATCTTTATCAAGAACCTCGACGAGCAGATCGACAACAAGGTCAGATAAGCCTCCCAGCCTTCCGGAGGGATGTGCCTACTCACAGTGGCTCGCGATTTAGGCCCTGCACGACACCTTCGCCGCTTTCGGTAACGTCTTGTCCTGCAAGGTCGCCACCGATGAGCACGGCCGTTCGAAGGGTTACGGTTTCGTCCACTATGAGACCGCCGAGGCTGCTGAGACTGCCATCAAGGCCGTCAACGGCATGCTTTTGAATGACAAGAAGGTCTATGTCGGTCATCACATCTCTCGCAAGGCAAGTTCACGGGTATATGTATGATTTCATGGACATATGTATTGACCGATCTTACAGGAGCGTCAGTCGAAACTTGAGGAGATGAAGGCCCAGTTCACCAATATCTACGTCAAGAACCTCGACCCTGAGGTTACCCAGGATGACTTCGTCAAGCTCTTCGAGCAGTTTGGCAATGTCACCTCTGCGGTTATCCAGACGGACGAACAGGGCCAGAGCCGTGGCTTCGGTTTCGTGAACTTTGAGACCCACGAAGAGGCCCAGAAGGCCGTTGAGACTCTCCACGATTCCGAGTACCATGGGCGTAAGCTCTTCGTTTCTCGTGCTCAGAAGAAGGCCGAGCGTGAGGAGGAGCTCCGCAAGTCGTACGAGCAGGCGAAGGTAGAGAAGATGAGCAAGTACCAGGGTGTCAACCTGTACATCAAGAACCTCGAGGACGACATCGACGATGAGCGTCTTCGCCAGGAGTTTGAGCCGTTCGGTTCCATCACTAGCGCCAAGGTGATGCGCGACGAAAAGGGCACCTCCAAGGGCTTCGGCTTCGTATGCTTCTCTTCTCCTGATGAGGCCACCAAGGCTGTCGCCGAGATGAACAACAAGATGATTGGCTCAAAGCCCCTCTACGTCTCCCTCGCGCAGCGCCGTGAGGTCCGCCGCCAGCAGCTCGAGAGCCAGATCGCCCAGCGCAACCAGATCCGCATGCAGCAGGCCGCTGCTGCTGGCATTCCTGGCGGCTACCTCAATGGCCCTATGTACTACCCTCCCGGCCCCGGTGCTTACCCTCCTCCCGGTGGCCGTGGCATGATGGGGTACGGCCAGCCCGGCATGCTGCCTCCTCGTCCCCGTTACGCTCCGAACAACCAAGTCCCTGCTGGTATCCCCATTCCTGCCCCTTACGGCCAAGCTCCGCCTCAGGCTTACGGCGGTATACCCGGCTACCCTCGCGCGCCCCGTGGCCCCCCTCCCGCTGGTCGCGGTGGTCCCCCCGCCGACCCCAACTCGCCCCCGGTCAACGGTGCTCCCCGCGGCAACGCTCCTCAGGGTGCTGCCGCGAACCGTCCCCCTGCTGGCGGGCAGCCTCCCGCTGCTCGCGCCCCCACTGCCAACCGCCCCCAGGCCCGCCAGGCCCCGCCTGCTGCTGTGGCCGCGCCCACTGGCGAGGTGCCGACCATCACGGCGGCGGCCCTCGCCAACGCCTCACCCATGGAGCAGAAGCAAATGCTCGGGGAGGTCATCTACATGAAGATCGCCCCCTCCCAGCCTGAGCTTGCCGGCAAGATCACCGGTATGCTGCTCGAGATGGACAACACGGAGCTCCTCCACCTTTTGGAGTCGCCTGACGCGATGAACTCGAAGGTCAACGAGGCACTCGCGGTCTTGCACGAATTTACGAAGGAGGAGAGCAAGTAGAGGGGAAGTCGTCGCGTTGTTGTTTTGATAGGTGTTGTAGCTTTCTCTGTCATATGTCCCACCCCCCTTCGCGTTCCTCCTCGCCGACGTTACTTCTCCCTCACTTTCCGCTCTCGTTACTACTCCTCTGTTTGCTCTGTGCCATTGGCGGACAGGGTCGTATGGTGGTCGTTCCTTTGTGTGTACGAAATCTTAGGAACAGAGAGGTGACATGATTACTGCAGCTACACTATTGGGATCTCGTTCAGTCGAACGTCGACGAATTGAGGATGGTTGTCAATCGTTGCAAACCTGCCAATCGACCGACGCTTCCCGCCTTGCGTTGCGACGCTGTCATCACGCCGGTCAAGCACGTCGACGTCGTCCAATTGCTTGTTGAGGATATATGCTACAGCCGGATGCGTCTATTTACTACACAAGTACAATAACCAAAGAGGTATCTAACTACGGAGGTCACCGTCCGCCACGACCCATGCCACCCATACCCATCATCTTGAACATGTCGCCCATGTTCGGCATGCCACCACCGAGACCACCAAGACCTCCGAGGCCGCCCAGACCGCCACCCATTTGCTGCATCATGCCTAGACGAGGCGTAAGGACAATTTGAGAGACGTAAGGAATACAAGGACATACGTTGCATCTCTTCCATGTCGAACTGATCGCCTCCTTGACCCTGCATCATGGCCTTCATCATCTCCTGCATGCCGCCGCCACCGCGCATCTGGCGCTGCAGCTGCTGAAGCATCCCCGGAGGCATAGCGCGCTGATGGTGACACGCAGTGAGACATTCCTCGCTGTCAACATCGACAGTCGTGTGGACGTACCTGCATGGCCTGAATCTGCGCCGGTGTCGGCATTCCGTTAGCACCACGTCCGCGGCCACCGGCGGCGGCTTGCATCTTCTGTATCGCCTGGAGCCACCCGTTCTTTCCGCCGGCCTGCTTCGCCATGTTTGCCATCATGCGGTACTGGCACAGCAGGTCCTCGACCTCGCGCACGCTCGTGCCGCTTCCCCTCGCGACGCGCTGGACGCGCCAGGTGAGGCCGGTCGGCTTGCCGTCCTTACCCCACTCCATGAACATGGAGCCGTCAGAGTCGAGCTCGGCGGCGGTCATGCTGTCAGTGATATAGATCATGCGCTTCATGCGGAGGGTGCCTTCTTCATCCGAGCCCTGGAGAAGATCCTGGGGCAGACCGGGAATCATTGAGGCGATCTTAGACAACGGGCCCCTGCAGAGGCATATAAGAGAGATTCTCCAAAAGTAATAATATCAACGCACATGTTCATGACGTTCTGAATCTGCTCTCGCCAATCACGGATGCTCAGCTTGCCCTCCTCTAGTTTCTTCGCCATCTCCTTCTGCTTGTCCGGATTCTGCGTAGCGATGTCTTGCATGTGCTCGACGAGACCTTGCATGTCTCCAAGTCCAAGAAGCTTTGAGATGAAAGGCTGTGGTGAGAACTTGTCCAAGTCGTGCAAGTGTTCGCCGACACCGAGAAAGATGATAGGTGTCTTCGTTGCTGCGACACTGTTGTAGCATTAGCCAAACACGACCACATCCCCACTCGAGCACACTCACGCTGAGATAGCTCCTCCACCCTTCGCATGACCATCCATCTTGGTCACGATGATCGCTCCGAAGTTGGCGCTCTCCTTGAATGCCCGGGCTTGCGCCTCAGCGGCCTGGCCTTTGTCGTCGTGAGATCGTTATGCGCGCGGCACACGTAAGGTAGGAATATTCACCGATACTGGCATCCAAGACCATGACGGTCTGGTCGGGTTGCACGGCTTCCCCTATTTGCACCATCTCTCTGAACAACTCAGATTCCTGCTTGTGACGACCAGACGTATCCACGATGATAACATCGAAGCGTTCCTTCTTGAACTTGGCGACACCTTGCGCTGCAATAGTGACAGGATCCGTCTCGGTGTAGGAACCGAAGTAGGCGACTTTCGCCTTGGTAGCAGACTGGCGGGTCTGATCGAAGGCACCGGCACGAAAGGTATCGGCGCAGACAATGCATGATTTGAAACCGCGCCTCTGATAGTAGACTGCGAGTTTCGTGCATGTTGTTGTTTTACCGTTTCCCTGGGGGAGAAGATGTAAGAGTAGCCTTTTCCCCACAGAACGACTGACTCACCTGCAGACCGACGGCCATGATGACATTGGGATGCCCCTTCTTCGGTTTATAGGGCTCGACACCCGGGTCAACGAGTTGCACAAGCTCATCGAAAACGGCCTACAGATTGGAACAATCCAGTGAGACACCCAGCCGAGCTGGAGGAATGTAGCCACATACTTTTTGCACGACATGTCTCCGATTTTGCTCCTTGCCCTTATCCGCGCCGCTTTCTAGAGCAGCCTTTACTTTTGTCTTGACCTTCTGTCGAAGTTGTGCGACAAGCTTGACGTTCACATCGGATTCCAAGAGAGCCGCGCACACTTCCTTGAGCAAAGCATCCAGAACCTAGAGCGACCAATTAGGATCTATATCCAGCTCCAGCAAGCTCAACAAGGACCTTGTCGTCAACTACTGGTGCACGATTAAGTGATGAAAGGGCCGCATTGAGCTTGCGTCCAAGGTCGGCCAACACCATGATGAGAGGGAGGAGCAAGCGAGGGCCCTTGCGTCCACCGGCTCTACCGGAGTAGTCACTTGACCTCGATCACTTCTCATGGACCGCATCCAACTTGTGAACCATGGTCAACAGCGACTCCGACGACGACGTTTACGACGACATTGAGTTCGAGAATGCTTCTGAGGGCGATGAAGACATTGACGAGGATATCATTGATGCACTAGAAGGAGATCTAACAGCCGCTGTGGCGGCTGAGGGGACAGAAGGAGAGGAGGTATGTTCCTAACCACTGAGCCTACCACTTCGCTTCACCGCGTCGCAGGACACAGATACGTCCACGTCCGACAACGGCTCAGATGATGAGGACGTCTACGAAGACTACGTATCCCCTCATAAGGATCTGGAGCAAGTCCTCACGCAGTCCCTTCAAGAGGTTCCATCGCTCAGCAAGCCTCCTTCTCCTGCGACTGAGTCGCCTACTGCTGGTCAAGGTTAGCTGTCAACTTGATTGTTTTGTCTATCGAGGTGGTCTGTACATATTCATACACCACGCCTTCCGTAGTGCCGCAGCCACCGCCGCAAATTCGTCCCCCTTCCCCAGCCCAGATTCGCAAAACGAAACTCTTGTCAGATATCCGGTGGCCACGGTCGTTCACCGTCGAGGCAATATGTGCCATTCCTCATCCCTGCGCAACACATGCTTTGGCGTCTTCGCTATGCATGACCCACCTGATAACGGGTTCTGACGATGGCTACATCCGTGACTACGATGTCTTCGCTGCAGTCAATGGGAAGATCTTCCTCACCGCCCCCCAGAGGCAGCATTGCGGCGTTATTGAGGGCATCATGAAAGCTGGTCAAATTCGTTGCTGGTGGGAGAACGCCATCCCAGTCGTTAACCCCGAGGGTCCAAACGGAGAGGCACCTCTGTATCCAGTATACAGCCTGGCAATGCAGTCGGACGCCCTCTGGTCTCTCGCAGGCTCGGATGTAAGCCACGGTACCTGGACTTGGGCTTGGCGCCGCATATTGACCTACTTCGCAGCAAGGGCACGTCTGCCTACATACAGTGCGACACAGTCCTGGCCGCCTTTGTCATGTGATGCACGGTCATAGGGGGCCGGTCTCCGCGCTGTCCCTACAACATGACGAGAAGGGTTTCTTCAGTGCAGGCTGGGACGGCGAGGCGATTGTGAGTGTTTCGTGATGCACACCGGGCGTTGGGGAGCTGACCGTCTGGAATCAGCACTGGGACCTGAACACTGGGCAGATGGCTCGGAGGTTTTCAGCACACGGCGCCCAGCTTGCCGGAGTTGCTGTCCGCCCGCTTTCCACGAATTTCATTCACAATCCATACAACACTATCACAGCCGGTAGTGAATTCACAGTGTCCATGCGTGGTTCACGGGACGACCAGCAAATGAATCACGCACCCTCGATGCCTCCTCCGCCTCCTCCACAAGCTCTCTACCAGGCCCCAAAGCAAGAGGACGATGTCAAGTCCGAGGCATCGTATGACCCTCTTTTCGACGAGCCGGATGCAGAGGGTGACGGTGACGGTCCAGGCGGGCAGAATCCTTACACATCTTTCCCTGGGTACGGTCACGGTCCGCCCAATGGCCAGCATCTAGGCCGAGGTGCGATCGCACCGAAAGGCGCGCCCCCTGTGCTCGACCCTACGACCTACGCCACGTTCTCGCCTGATCTGCTGATGACTGCACATGTAGACGGTCAGGTCATTCTGTGGGATCGAAGGGTCAATACGCCTGGGAGAGGCGTTGGTCGACTGTGGATGAGCGAGAAGACACCCCCTTGGCTCATGTCTGTGCGTGCCCTGTTGCATCAGAAGCTCTGTGCTTTTCATTTCAATACTAAACGCGGTATTCACTATAGGCTTGCTGGTCTGCTGACGGGGCTCAGATATACGCGGGACGTCGAAATGGCACTGTCGAGATTTACGACGTTCGGCAGACAGGGCGTGCAGCTTCTGGAACACCGAAGATTTTGAAAACGCTTCGCAATCCGGGCAGCTCAGGCGTGGTATCTTGCGTCGTCGCATTTCCGGATGGCCGCCACCTTGCATGGTAAGCTCCTGCTTTCGGGAGTTTCATCTGAGCGCGCTCACAAGGTCCACCCTACTAGTGCTTCAACCGATAACATCCGTCTGTGGAACGTCGCGGAGGCCGGGGAACCCGATGCATCTGGCAAGATGAAAAGCGGAGTCCAGTTCAAGATCATACCTGGACATCACGGCGGTTATGTTTCTCAGATGCGTACGTCAGGTTCTCCCCGAGTACTCACAATTGGCTGACATCAAATTACAGTGGTTGACCCAGCAGCTCGATTTTTGGTTAGTGCCAGTAGTAATCGAGGCTGGCATGGAGAACATACCAAGACTGTATTCGTCCACGAAGTCAAGCATCAGTTTTGATAAGACATTGTATATAGTGTGTTATTACGGTGTATAAGTACTACCACTGGGACGATCCTGAATCACTCTATCGTGCTCACGCCAGCGTGCGCAGAACCCTCATGACATACCATGATCGTAAGTTATGCTCGCGAACTCTGCATGTGCGGTGGAAGTTGAAGCTTTGAAGTCGTGCTTCATAGGCCTGTACAAGGGATATCCTCGGGATATGAGCTCTGCGGGAGCAACGTGTGAGGCCCTTCGATAGCGACTTACCGAATCAGCAAATACGCCCTTCGAAGGGCACGTGGTTCATATTTCATATGTATTTCCGCCACATGAGGTCGCGATAGGCAGTGCGCATATAACGCAACAGGTCAGTAGTGCCGAACATGTACCAGGTGTCAGACATGGTTTTCCGGAGGCCTTCACGAGCAGTCTCGACAGCCTGCAGGAACTCAGCACTAGGCACCTTGTTCGCGCGAACGATTTCGGCGAGGCATGCGAGAAACTCGCGCTGTAGGGCGTCGTTCGGCTCTTTTGGAGGCTCCGTCTCCGACAGCGTGAGCTTTCCGTCTCTCAACGCGAGGTAGCGTACTGGTTCTGGGGAAGGGGGTAGAGGAGCGGATGGTTCCCTCTTGGGCTTCGGGGCTGCTATAATCGGCACCCCAGCTATCGTCGGCACCGGAGGCGGTGGTTGAATGGGTTTGGGCGGACGAGGTGGATGGGGTGGGGTAGCGCGGAGAGAAGGGTTATGAATTGGAGGAGATGGCGAGCGAATCAAGGGGCGAGATGGAAGAGGAAGAGTGGCTGATCGGGCGGGAGACTTCGCTGGTGGGGTCGGCGCGCGGGACGCGATGCTGGTTCGGGAAGAGACCGAGCGAGCGAGCGGGATCCCGGGAGGCACGGCGGGTGCGTCTGGCGATATCGGTATCTGGGAGACGAAAGGAGCTGTCTGGTGATCAGGCAACGCTACCACCGGCGAGGAAGCGGTAGAGACAACGATACGAGGGAGCTCTGTGATCTCATTTCCTCCCTGCACCCCAGCCATGACCGTGGATCGGGTAGATCTTGAAGACACGGATCCAGGGGGCGAGGCACACCTGTAGGACGAGGGTGGGGAGACGGGGCCGGCTATAGGCGAGATGAACGTCTTCTCGGGATCGGAAGCCTGTTTCCCGCGCAGGGATGCCATGCGCATCGGGGCCACTAGCGTTGGCACGCTACCGCTGGAGTTCATGGTCTGCTTCTCCGGAAGTTTTGGCCGCTGCATGTAGTAGGGCTGGCCAATGAAGAGTCCCGGTGTACGTGACTGCCAGCAGAGCTGCGTCGCGGTCTCGACAATGACATTCCGGTAGATGCATACTTCCCTAAAAGAGAACTCCGGAGCAGACTGCACGATGATCGGAAGACGCGTCTTGCGGAGGGGGTCCGGAGAGAACGAGGCAAGAACTGGAGGTGTATCCCCTGGTGTGTCGCCGACCAAAGGTTGCACGTCCACGATGGGGATCCTCCGGATCGGCTCCAGGCTGAAGACCACCTTCAAAGCGATGATGAGCACCTGCAAAGCTAACCAACCGTAGGCCCAAGCACTGAGGCCAACGATGAGAAACGTCGCGAAGATGTCGATGATCCCACTCAGCACCGTGACTGCACCCACCAGCTTCAAGCGCCTGCTCTCGTACTTGGAATCAAAAAGGTTGTACTCGCGGATGTTGTCCAGCTGCGTGCTAAGCACGACGCTGTGGACGTGCTTCCCGGAGACCGCGACCTGGAAGCAGCGGTAATCCGTAGTCACCATCCGATTCAGGTAAATGAACCGCGTCCCCTGCCCGCGGACTGCCTGCAGGAGGCAGACGGCTAGCATCCATAGGAGCCCGCTGACGACCTGTAAAACGACGAGGGGGGCTGCCGTGCCGGTGGCCGCGTTCTGCACCGCTAGAAACGTCTCGAGCGCATACATGAAGAGATAGGCTACCAGCCCGCAGAAGGTTCGTCGTGTGTTGCGCTGGCTGAGCTCGACCTTCGCTGGGAGGCCCTGGGTCTGGAACCACGCCTCGACCATGTAGTCTTCTGTTAGATTGTGGTTGATAATGAGATTGGAGGCGTGGCGCTCCGGGGTACCCGTGGGGACATGGACCAGCGAAGGCGAGAAGGCGTTCACGTATTCCTGATGGGGGGCAGACATATCGCAGACGACGTTGCGATAGAGGTCGGTGCTGAGCAACATCAGCCCAACCTGCAGCTTCGAGAGAACCCGACCGGCCCCTACGCCGAGGATGGAAAGCGAACCCGGAAACGTACGCGCTGCCACCGCCTTGACATTCTGCGTCTTTCCCGTCAGGACAGGGAGCAGGGAGAGAATAGAACTCGCTCCGTTGATATTCTGTACGGCCGCGGCGAGGGACCGCGCGTCGGGGCTAGCGCCCTGCGCCGCCGTTTCACAGACCCGTAAGAGAAAGAGCCAAGCGCTCCAGATCGGAGACTTGGTGGCTAACATCTGTTACTGTGGACGCTGCGATGAATATTGTCTCGGCGTAGAGGCTAGTTCTAGCGCGACACTAGTGAGTGCGTGCTACGTACCTCACGGAACCAGCGGGGAAACCAGCGCGAGCTTATGCAAAGGCGACGCACCCTTCAGGACCATATGTACTCTGCGGAGACTGATTCCATACTCTACCCTCACCCTATGCTGAGCTTGTAAGCTACGCAGGCAACCAGTCGACATGAGTCCTCCTCATGTTCACTTCCAGCACAGTGTCGGGAGCGTGTGTCTTCGTCGCGCCAGGCTGACATGCCCTTCGCACCCCGAGTTGATCCACCACAGCAAACCTAGTGAATGACCTTGCTAGAGAAACGCATACATGTGACGGCAATTGAGGTACAGTAATAGATATTCAAGACACACCGTTCAGAACCACGTGCTCGATTTTCTCATACTAAACCATCCTCAAAGATCTTTCCTCTTCTCATATATCGCTGTGACCGGTTGCGCACCGTTCTTCTGTAGATCAGCGGCAACACGTTCCGCGCCCTCCAAAACGCGAAGGAGGTTTCCTCCGGTGAGACCGGCGAGTTCGAACGCGTTCCATCCCCGCTTGTACAGCTCAGCAACCTACACAGCGCAGACATCAGCGGCGGGCACTGGCAGAGCAACACCAAAGAGTGAAGCACTCACAAGTGCCGGATACTTGGAGACATCCTCGAGGCCGATGGGTACTTCACCGATACCATCAAAATCACTTCCAAGACCAACACTGTCAAGCCGAGTTAGATATGTGATGTCCATACATGTCTCAGAATGAAGGTAAAACATACTGTTCCTTGCCAGCCACCTTCGCGATATGATCGACATGGTCGGCGACCCACTTTACATCCGCCTCTCCAGACGGGGCGACGAAATACGGCGCGAAATTGACCATGACAACTGCATCCGTCTTGTTCGGGCCCGTTCCAATCAGCTCAAGCACATCATCGGGCACATTCCGCGGCACAATGTGTACAGCGCGCGCCGACGAGTGGCTCCAGATGACAGGAGCCTTCGTGTGCTTGAGGGCTTGCTTAGCGGTGTCATCCGAGGTATGGCTCAAATCAACGAGCATTCCGATACGGTTCATCTCTTCGATGAGCGAGCGCCCGAGAGGGCTCAGGCCGCCATGTAAGGGCTCAATGCCAACGAATATGCCGCAGGAGTCGGCGAAGGCGTTGTGGCACATATGCGTGAGCGTCACGTAGCGGACCCCCAAGTCATAATATTGGCGAAGTGTTGCGATAGAATTGCCGAGCTGGTGCCCACTGTATCGAAGGTGAAAACATGGATGTGAGTGGGCATCTCAATACTGCGTGCGCAAACGTACCCCTCTATTCCAAGGAGAGATGCAATTTGGCCGCGACTAATGGCGGCCTTAATCTCCTTTGCGCTTAGAGTCCACGCAAAAGTCTGCAAACGTGCCCTTATTGGGTACGTCGCCGACATGGGTCGAGGAGTGATGGAAGACGTACGTCTGAGTACTTATTGATGAGTAGCTTTGCGATATCAATCTGCTCCAATGTATCGCTAGATGTTAGAATCTGTCAGTACATATTTGCGCGTACTACACAACGACTACCCACCGCACGCGGTTTGTGGGCTTGATGAAGTCGTCGCTTTGCTCCTCTACTGAAGGGCAGTCGGCGTATACGGACCAGAAGAAGCCTCCGACCTTTCCCTCCCTCAAACGGGGGATGTCGACGTGGCCCTCGAACGACTTGCTTAGGTCAATGGCAGACACGTTGTTCGAGTATGCAGTCCGGACCAGAATTGGCAAATCTACAAATATTGAATTGAGGAGCTTGCGGCAACCCTGCTCGTACATCTCGGCTGACCTATATGACCGTCCTTCCAGTCTGCCTCAGCATACGCGAGCGGTCATGCGAGTAGCTCATGACTCACGATAACAGGAGCGCTATCCAAGATCAACAGCGCAGCCTTGTGCGGGTCCTTCGGCAACCGTCCCACCACACCCGATAGCTTGTCCCAGAAGAGCAACAAACCCGCGAGAGCGACTACGAACACAGTCGTGAGTATTGAATAGGTCACTGCCCGGACAGTTGCTGCGCGACGAGCGCGGGCGGCCTCGTCCTGAGCAACGGCATTGCGGGCGAGGTTAGGGATACCTCCAAGAAGGGGGGCTGTCTCGCCGTTTTGAGGCATGGTGGTTGGGAGTAAGAGGAGTCGGCGAGAGTCATGTGTAGAACGCAGGTCCCGTTGCAGTCGACCGCATACGACGATGATGCAATCCGGCAACCGGCCCGCTTCCCCCTCAGCCTCGCCCGGCAGCTCTGCAATACCTTGCCCAAGTGAAGACGCGACACACTCCATGCAAGACAAACCTCAAACATTCAACATCTTCTGCCAGCATGTCAGAAGGGATGACGCATACGTGACTACATAGTACTACAGGATAGCATGCTACAAGTGATCGTCAAAGCGGATAGTATACCAGTAAGCGGGACAAATCAAGAACGTCTAGCTTGCTCCTTCTTCCACTCCTTCTTTTTCGACGACGCTGCCGCCTTGTTTCCGAAGATGAAACGAGACGTCCTCTTGTCTGCGCCTGTCTTGCGCGAGATGTACGAAGAGCCGGCGAAGAGTATCTGCAATGAAGCACAGAACAATGAGCATTCGCGCATGCGATTGAGCAGGAACATATCCGAGTCAGTACACTCACCGCCCACAGGCCCCAGAGCCCTATTGTACCGGAACCCAGGCACACGAGGAAGCCTAGAGAACTGACCGAAGATGTGTTGTATGAGAGGAAGGAGATGAGCAGGCACGCGGATGTCATGGGCTCCAACAAGGGATGGTCTGGCGGGCCGGACCTCTTCGGGTTCAGGATCTCATGTCCTGGGTGGATCTGGAGACTCGCGGTCAGTAAACATTTGCGGTGATATTGAGAAGCCTTTACATTGAAGACGAGGGCCACCGCAAGGACTATCAGCACGATCCCAGTATTCCACGCCAGGAAAGACTCCAAGGGGGTTAGTGAGACCCTTCGCTCTAGCCCTGTTTCCGAGAGGAATAGAAGTAGCTTGGGGTAGAGTATGAGAGGAGCTGCCGCAAGCAGTAATCTTGCGTGTCGTGGCTGTTCAGTACAGGGAACATTCAAGATAGAACACGCTCACATGATTGCCGACGTCCATGCCCAGCTAGAAACTACCCCGTCGTCTTTGTGCGAGTTTGGGTTTGGAAGTGGCTCCAGAGTTGTGGTGTCTTCGAGCTGCGCCCTACTATGGGAGAAGTCGTCTAGTTCGATGTCTACAGAGGGCATGGCCTGAATAGTCAGTGCGATGGGATGAGGCAGGGACCTTACGAGACCGCAGCGAAGAATTGTGTGTATTGGGCTACTGCCAGTGGCTCTGGCAGTGCCTGCAGCGGCCCCGAGCGGCAAGTAACGAGACTGACGTCACGGGCGAAGGACCCGACAAGCGCCCTAGTCTCCAAATGGGTGTTTGCGATTGTTAGGATCTGAAGCTATCGCCTTCTTCAACTCAACGCCTCGCACTTCACTATCTGCTAACAATCATGCCAAACCGGTGATGTGTCCAGACGTCTTCCTATCCATAACGAGAGGGCTGACGATTAAGCCATCACAGGGGGTGCATGGAGTGTCAATGCCCGAAGCTCGATAGGACACCCTCTTATGCGGAGTTTCTCGAGTCGTATCTTATACCGAACAATCCAGTCATCATCGGACCATCCCTTGTTTCTTCTTGGCCAGCCCTCAAGCACTGGGTCACAGACGAGGGCAGCATCAACTCGGACTACCTCAAGACTGCATACGGCCACTATGAAGTTACAGTGGCCGATTGCTCCACCCGTAACTTCAGTGACCAGCAACGCGAACAGATGCTATTCCGCGATGTCGTCTCCCTGTGGCAAGAAGATAAGGGAGAGACCCTCTACGTCAAAGACTGGCATCTGGCCCGCGTTATAGCTGCGGATACCACCAGAGCACAGCCGGATCGGCCATTCTACACGACCCCAGACATCTTCCGCGATGACTGGATGAACGCGTACTACTCTGCGTGCACGGAAGACGACTTCCGCTTCGTGTACGTCGGCGCTTCTGGGACGTTTACTCCGCTGCATCGCGACGTGTATACGTCGTACTCGTGGTCGACGAACGTCTGCGGGTGGAAACGATGGTGGCTCTTCCCTGCGGACCAGACACCCCTTCTCTTCCGCAAGGGCGGCGAGGAGCATATGGAGACCGCGTATGATGTTCGCGATGTGGACTTGGCGCTGTATCCATTGTTTGAACAGGCGCGTCCAATCGTCATCGAGCAAGGCCCCGGGGAGACGATATTCGTGTGAGTGCATCTCATTCAACAAAGCAGCTACCCCTTGTTCTTATTCCCTTTCTGGCAGTCCCAGCGGATGGTATCATCAAGTTGAAAACCTGACGGCGTGCATTTCGATCAACCACAACTGGTGCAACTCCGTAAACCTTCCCTCGCTCTACGACTCTATGTGCGCCAAAGTCACGGAGGTCGAGCATGCACTCGAGGACGTCAAAGAGCTTCTTTCGCAAGGCGACGCTAATAGCTCCGGAGATTTGAGCTCCAGTTGGAGAAAGGAATGGATTGCGATCGTACAAGATCTTGTAGAGAAGGACGCTGGGTGGAAGTACGTGGCATGATTCCGAGTTGCTCATGTCGCCATACTCACTGCGCTTAGTTGGCTCACGTTCTGGAAAATGATCCGGCATGCGCTGTCTCTTGCTATGGATTGGCCATGTCCTGTGGACGGATGCCTTTGGGCTCGGACGCCCTCTGAACTGATGCCCTCGCTCGACTACATGGCGACGCGAATACGAAACTGCTACGAAGATTTCGCGATCCGTCCCCAGCTAGAAGGCAGCTTGATCCCAGGAATGGATGAGGTCCTTGCGGATATTGGCGGCTTGCTGAATTATGGAGCATCCACTGTATAAGCTCTTACCCTGAGAAAAGCGGTGAGGTTTCAAAGTTTGTCTAGCCTTCTAATGTGCGGTTTACCCGGTTGTCGTTTAGATTGTCGTTGTTCATGCAGTAGGTCCGGGATGGTACCTCCGACAGCATTCATCATCATATTCTAACCCGTTGCTAGTCTTGAGAACAGGTGGTTGCTGAATCTCATCGCGAGAACCCGTGTTACCCAACCTCCTCCAACGTGTTCAATACGCAACCGCCCTTATTCGCATCAATTCAACTCACTAGAGAACATCCTGGAAGACTGCTCTATCCTTGGGCAAAGATGAACAGCTCTTCAAAGACACCACAAAGCTCCGCGCCTAATGCGCAGTACCGGAGCTAACCCTCGCGATCTCGCTTCTCCCAAGGTCCGAGAGAGCGTTCTTGCAGTCGAGCGCCATGGCTTTGTTCTGACCTCCGCGTGTGCAAGCACGTCTCGATAGGAGAGGACCCTTCCGACAACACAAACGGCCGTTGGCACGCAGATCACACTTTTCTGTACGCTTTTCGCGCTGTGCCCCGCAAGAACTCTAGTGGTACAGATGCAGGTCAAGCACAGAGACTACAGGAAGTAACTACCTGGGATCCAAATTCACTTCAGCGCTTCAGATGATGTGATCTCGTTGGATATAAACTGGGAATAGAATACACTGTATTACAGCAAGCAACATGCGCGATGATAATATATAGGGGATGAGGATACAAGACGACTGTCCCGATGAGAGTAGCTGATGTGCGAATATCTAGGCTGTAACAATCAGTATGGTGCTGGCCAGCCATTGCCCTGGATCATGGCAGCGCGTGCAGGATGCATTCCGGTGGCGCCAGAGCCTGGTGGAGGAGGTTGGCCAAAGCCAGACACACTAGTTTGCTGATATCCGGGTGTCTGGAACCCGGCGCCGTACTGCTGGCCTGCAGGGTAGCCGCCGAACGCAGGAGTGAAGCCACCGGCAGGAATCGCTGCGCCAGGAGGGCCGCCAGGGGCGCCATAAGGATTGGGTGTCCGACCAACCTGGCGTACGGACATATGCCCAGGGGTGGCGTGTCCTGGTGCAGGTGTCCTGCCGGGAGTACGAGCGCCAAAGGGTGTCTTCCCACCAGATGCACCGGCAAGACTGCTCAGCGACATTGACTTCTGCCTGACTTTGAAGGCGTCACAGAGCTCCGGTACACCCGCAGCGGGCGTGTCGAAAAGATAGTATGCCGCGGGCGTTACTCGCACGGGCTAGTGAAAGTCAGTGTCGTTGATCGTGCGATGATCAACTCGGACTTACCCATGTCTGCACAGTTGAGTTTTTGTTTGCCAAGTAACACAGGTTGAAGTGCCCGGGCCGCTTACGATTGAGCGTGAAGCCATATGCACTCTTCGAGGGGTTCGCGGCGACGAAGTTCCTCAGGAATAGATCTACATTCCGGTGTCAGCTAGAAGCAGGCTTAGCGGAATAGGGATATGTACGCAAGTCATCTTCCGTCCCAGGTTTGAACTTTTCGTGCATCATGAGCTCCTCGACCTTCCTCGCCATCGCTTGGACATGGTTGACGATCAACTCATCCAGATCAGAGAATTGGTGTGTGCCATCAACAATGAGCTTGGAGCCCACGGTTTGACCGGTCGGATCGGCGTTGAGCTCGACGACATCTACCAGTCTGCTTGTTAGTGGCCCTGAAGTAAGCAATTCGGAGTTGACATACCGAGGTGCTGGTAGAGCTTGTCATCCACCTTCCATGTTACGGCGAGGTGGTTGGCACCTTTCGACGACGGCCGGATCACTACATCACCACGCTGCTGCTTCTCGAGGTACTGCTCCGCCTGTTGCGAGTTGAAGTTATGGAAGTTAGGATGCTTGATGACCCGCCGGGTTCGATCCACTTCGGCCCGCTTCTTGCGAGCTTGCATCTCGCTGTCTTTTTCGTACTGATGATGGTTCCATGCATCATCTTGTTTGACGCGACGGAACTGACTGTCACCACCGCTGACATCCGCCTCGAGAGCGGAGAGCTCGACGGTCACTTGATCCGCAGGTATATCCAGCTTGACCTCCATGACGACACCAGAGAGCGTCTGCCCCTGCTTGACGACACTAGGAGGAGGGAGGCCGAGTTCGGTGAGGTAACGCTTGTTGATAGTCCCCTCGATACCAGAGTCGAGGCGGACGATGACGAAGTTATCCTTGACTCGTACGGCCTGTACGGACACAATGAGACCTGTGCGTAGCGTACGTGGCGTCTCTCCCGTGAGCATTGTGACGACCTCCCAATTGGTGGGGAGAACGAAGCCCCTGCGTTTCTCCCCGTAAGGTCGGAGCAGCTCTTCGCGGATGACGTTCAAGGTGTGCCGCTTCTTATCTTGGTTAGTCCGATACATGTTGACGGCGAAGTCGTCGAGATTCAGCTCATCAAGCTTCTTCTCGTTGTCGTCATCCTGCATGATGACAGAGACGACATGTGATGGGTGCTCGTCGTGGATATCCTCCTCGTCCAATTCGAGTGCATCGGTGGCCATCTTGCGACCAAGCTCGTAGTCCTCGGGATGAACTCGTGTACTGTCCAAGGGGTCGGGTACATCGATCTCCTCCCCATGGCGGTTCTTTGCGGGCTTCGGTTCCGAGTCCTGGACAATACGGAGGAAGGCCGAAGCATTCAAGAATATTTTCGTGGTCAGAAGACCGTTCTTGACAAATTGACCGCGGTTGATCAGGTTGCCGCCCTGCAACATAGTGCAGTGTGACGTCAGAAAGCGTAAGACACCGTGTCTACAAGAGTGCCTACCATGGAGGCAATCTTCTTGACTAACACCTGAGCTTTCCGAGGACCGAGACCGGCGACAAACTGGAGAAGATGTTGATAGTACGAATCCGTAACGGCGCGGTTGATATCCACGCCCACTTTGTTGACGACATCGACGAGGACACGTTCCATGGCTGTGAGCAGCTTCTCTCTGGGCACCTGTATACACATGAGTAATACGAGACAGGAGCGGCGTCAATCGAACATACCAATTGCTGGTAGTCCTCGTCGAATGTGATAGCCGTGATGTCCGCACCGAGCGCGGCATACTCATTGAGCGGGCTCTGCACATATCGAGCCAGACCAACGCAGTATTTACTGAGCGGCGACAGGGCACTGAACTCCTCGTCCGCACGGCGGCTGTGCTGATAGATGCGAGCGACCTCGTCATGCACATAAATGACTGGCGTGCTAGGCGAGTCGTTGGGGTTAGGGGCGTTCGACTCGCCCCAACCATTGCCAGAGGCGTCATTCTGGGTGGCACTTAGCAGCTCCTTGATGCGTCGCGACAGCTTCAGTGTGGCGATGCTGAAGCCTGCGACCGCGATAACATCCGGCCGCCGTCGCTTGATCATATCACAGAACTCGTCTTGGTTCTCGACACCGAACAGATTGTCAAGCTTGGTATGCTCGCGTAATCGCCCAGCCTCATCGAGAAAGACGATAGAGATGGTATCTTTGTGAGGATCGCCCTTACCCCACGACACAGCCATGACAGACGGAGTGTCCCCCTTACGCATGGAGGGGCCAACGTATGGTGCAACATCGATACGCTAGCGGAACGTCAGTCTATAATAGAACGACAAAGGTTATGAGCTATGCTTACATCCCGGAGAACACTTGCGCACTGCCGTGCTAGATAGTCTTCAGCTTCCTCACGAATCCACTCTCGAGTCCACTTCACACCGACGGGTAGTAGATGCTGATCCAGCGTCTCTTGTACCACCCGAGAGCGCTCCTCATTCCACGCCCGAGCTGTGTCACTGAAGCTGTCCGAGGCGAAAGCGTCATTCAACTTGCGCTCGAATGCAGCCTTGGCATCTGGACGGAGGGTGATAGAGACCGTCACCAGGTGGTCCGCCTCAGCCGCGAGAATGTTGAGGAACTGAGCCGACTGGAGCATCTCAGCTGCATTCTTGTTGTAGAGGTATTTGAAGTTCTGGAGACGACTCAGTGTCCCTCTGTAAACATCAACCGACATAAAATGCACGTACGAAGTACGGGTGGTGTTCGTCGATCTTCGCAACACCCCGTTCCGTGGGAAGTACAGAGATGAGGGCGTTGCCCTTAAAGGTGGTCCTGATCTCTTGACGCAATAGAGGATCCTTCCCGAGCTCGGTCGCGATGATCATCCGCGCGCGGGCAAGCAGCTCCTCGGCTGGCTGCGCACGCGTAGCATCGGGATCGGCGAACTGCTCAGCATATGCAAGAGGATTCAGCTCTTGTTCTTCGACGAAGTGAGTATTGTGGTCCGAAACGAAGTTTAGGACGACTTCGTGAGCTCGTATGCCGAAACCCTGGACAAGTGTTAGGCTGTTGAATCTAGACCAAAAGTGGTAGTAGAGGGTGCTTGCCTCGGCGAGTTTGGAGACAACACTCTTCTTTGCTAGTTCGTAAGCGGATACGCGACTCGGCATCTTGTGTTTGCGAGTATCTACTTGCTCGTCGTCGTCGTGGAACTGGATATCGATCTTGATCTTCTTTTGCTCGCGGTACTTCATCCCAAGCCATTCAGAAGAGTCGGCGGCCATCTCAGCTGTCTCCACTCGGTTTCGTACCTCGGTCTCGAAGTATTCGTCGGAAACACCGAGGCGAGCGTACAAGGTGTCCAAGGCGGCTCGTCTTTCCAGTAGGGAGCGGTACTTCTGACCGACAGTGTAGACCCGCCACAGGTCATCCAGCGAAAGCAACTCGACCTGCAGCTTGGGATTGTTGGCATCGAAATATGAGATGTAGTCCCGCTTGTGCATCCAGATGTAGGGAACTTCGAACTCCTGAACGAATAGATACCGGAGGGCACAGGTAATGGCTTCGACGAGCTGAGGGAGGAAACTGTGGAACTGGCCATCGCCGCGGAAGAAATCTCGCTCCTTGCGGCTGGAGAGGCGAGTGATCACCCAAGATGCGGCGTCATCGAGGTCGTTCTCGGTCAACGTCCTGTGCATGGACAAGGTCGCGGACAGGGACAGAGCAGACGTCGCGAGCTGCATGCGCTCTGGAATGTCTTGGGCCCTGATGAGGTCGTCATCCTCCGTGAGCATGCGTGCTTTGATCTCGGATGGTTCAAACACCTGAATCCAACCCAAGGTCAGCGGAGATTGGTGCAAAGGGAGTATACTGGACGAACATCCTGGTACTTCATCTCCGGCTTCACCTGTTCTTCTTCGAAGCCCGTCTCCTCGTCATCCACCAACGCCCAGTCATATTCATGGCCGTCACCGAAGACTTCGTGTATTTCATCCCATGCACTTCAAAAGGTAGGTGAATCCCTTTCCCTGCGAAATGAGAGAGGACTCACTTCGCGTCGATGCCGGAGAGTTCGGGACGAGAACCCATCGCCCGCCTCATTGCCTTCCGTTTCTTCAGGTGCTCCTTTCGCGCCTTTTGCGCCTCGATCCCTCCATCCTCTTCGTCCTCGTACTCGATGAAGTTATCCATGTCGTCCATGTCGACGTCGTCGTCGTCGTCATCCCTACCACCGCCCCTCTCGTCATCCCAAATATTGTGAATGTCTTGGACTCGAGGGAAGGTGTCTTCGTCATCAAGGTCTTCTTCGTCTGACTCGATGACATTCCTATGCTTGGAACTAGAAAGGGCGGGAGGAGACGCGGATTCCTGACCGGGGCGCCTGCGGACAATTCGCCTGCGAGAGAAGTTCGCGCCCGTGTTCTCCTCCAATAGCTCCAGGTCGTCCTCATCAAGCGCATCTTCCTCATCTTCACCTATGCACGCGAGAGAAGGCGAAGACGTCAGATGACGCCAAAAAGCCTCGGAATGTACACTTACGATGGTGACGCTTCTTGCGACGCTTCCGCCTCTTACGCCTCTCCTCCTCCTCGTCATCTCCCTCTTCTTCTTCGTCCTCGTCAACAATGAAGCCTTCCCGAATCCTCCTCTCTTCCTCCTCGTCTTCTTCTGGTTCCTCGGAACTGTCATCTGAAGGGTCGTTTGCAGCAATCACAACACCTTCTTCCTCTTCCTCCTCTTGACCACCGCCCCGCATGGGGTCGTCTTCCTCCTGACAAGTCACTTCGTAGTCGCGAGTGGGCGAGGACATGATGGAAGCAGTGAGAGAATGACGGTCCAGAGGCAAAGGACGAACTTGGCTTCAACGCGAGCTTAGGTATCGGAGATTCGCGGCGACAGAGTAGTCGCGCAAAGCTGTCTTCGTACCACACTTATCTGAGTTTCAAATCTGCTTATTCGGGGTTCTGCATATGTCGCCGATGACGCTAATCTAAGCGCCATGGCTCTTGTCCCCGGAACATCCTGTAGCATGGAGTGGCTTAGGCTTGCTCTTGAAGAAGCTCGAAAGTGCACTGCTACGCCAACCGCTTTCTGTGTGGGCTGTGTACTGACTGCCACTTACCCACCTGAATCGGATAAACCAGTCACCCTCGCTCGTGGCTACTCTCGAGAGCTTCCAGGCAACACCCACGCCGAGGCGAATGCACTCGCAAAGGCACGACAGCTCAGCGAGAACCAACTGCTTGAGATGTTTCCCGGAGCATCTTCTCCTATCAGCATTGACGCTATTTTGTGCCATGCCGACGTCTATACAACGATGGAACCATGCTCCATACGCACCTCCGGACTGGCCCCGTGCGCCGATGCACTCATTGCCGCCGGGATTAAACGCTGTTTCATAGGCGTTGGAGAGCCGGATGACTTCGTAAATTGCGAAGGAGCACAGAAGTTACAAGATGCTGGTGTCGAAGTGATTTGGCTCAAAGGTCTGGAGAAGGAATGTTTAGAGGTGGCTAGGATGGGTCGAGAGTAACGGTGACAAGTACAACAATGTAAGGCTATTTCTGCTACCATTTGCATTCTATTGTTCAATCTCCAGTGCGGTTCTAACTCCCGTCGCCCATCCCTCCAGCAACGATCTCGCGCTGGACGTGTCTAGGACAGTCCCCGCAAATTCGATCGACATGACAATCTTATCCGCAGCTTCGTCCACGATAATGTCAATCATGATATCATCCTATTGCACATCAGACCCAGTGTCAAGTAGCGGCACTCGAGGGATGTACGAACCTGAATCAACTCGGTCACACGCATGGTGCTCCCTACCAACTCGTTGGACACCTCGGGTATGTAGTAAGGCATCTATAGCACCGTCAGTTGAGCACAAGGAGGGAGAGATCCCGGAACGAACCTGTATAGGTTCTAAGGGTGCTTGATTTGTTCTCTCCACGTCAGGAGCGACCTTGATGATATTTACGAATACATTGGTAAGTGGTTTGAGGCCGACGGCGCCCCACTCGTGGACATCAACGAGTCGGCTTTGTTCGATGGCAGTCGAACGTGCCTGTAAACCATCCTGAATCCGTCTTGCGATGAGCACTGTATCGTCATCCCGCGTCCTGTACACTGTGAAAGGGAGGACGTTGATACAGGGTGCTGCGAGGCGCTCGATGTTCTTGACGTCTGCGGTTCTCCCAGAATGCCACAGGGAGAAGGCCACGCTGTCGGACGCAGTATGCCTTCCGTGGACCTGCGCCCAACTTGCAAGGAATATGCTCTGGAGGGAGATTGCGGCGTTGCGTGCACGTTTGTCGAGCTCCGCGGCCCCCGAGATCGCAGCGTAATCTGTGTAGACCGACCGCACGCGCGAGTTGGATTGATTGCATAACGAAGGGAATAGACCCGGAATATTTGTGTGGGATAACGCGGCCTCCCAGTATGTCCGTCGCTCTTGGGTCGCCTGCGGCTGAGGAATGACAGTTTGAAGAAAGCTGTCTAGGTCGTTCGAACTCGTCGGGTGCTCGCTCGCGTAGAGGCGTAGGAGGTCTTCGATGAGTAAGGGCAGGCTCCAGGCATCGTACTGGAAGTGGTGGAGATGGATCAGAAGATAGCGCTCCTCAGGGGATTGCATAAACACTGCGCGAGTGATAGGACGATCGACGGAAGGGGGATTCGATACAAGTGCCTTCATCCGCTCTTGCACTGTGACCAACGAGTCGGCTGAGGCAGGTAGTAAGTCTTCGAACCACGATGAGTGGAGCGCTTCGGCTTTGAAAACGACGACCCGAGGTGCGCCGACGTCCTTGTCGTAGGCGAAGGTTGAACGTAGGATAGCATGCCTGCATAAGAGCCTGTTCCATGCATCTTGTAGCATCCTGGGCTCAACGTCGAAAGCGACGCGATAGGCGAAGACGTGCTGGAAACGAGACCCTTTGCTCCGTTGCCACATGCCGATCATCCACTCCATACCAGGAGAGGCGATTGTGACCCTCTCCACGAGGTCGAGAACGTAAGGAGGTAGTATTGTCGACCAACGTGCACGCGATACGTCCACAGACGCTTCCTCGACAACGCCATTTGGGGGCGGGTCCCCTGCCTTCTCAATCTTCAGTAAGAGATCGCCTACTGTCCTGCTCCGAACGATCTCCGCGGCGGTCAGACGGAAACCAAGTCGTCTGGCTTTGGCAACTATCTGGACGGCAGTGATGGAGTCGATGCCAAGGGCAGTGAGACTGGTACTGGCGAAGATCTTGGAGGAAGGGGCCTTTGTCGTCGTAGACAACAACTCTCGGAAGGGATCGAAGCGGCTATTCCATACTTGAGGTTCTTTTCGAGCATCCTTGGATACTATGATAGTCTTGGTAGCCGGGACTTCCGAAGCAGTCTCAGGGATGCCTATAGACCACGGCTCATCTGGACATCGAATGATGTCGCAGAGGAACGCCGCATATCGCTCTACGAGTGTTCGCAATCCGGGCGCATCAACGATATCGGAGGTGCACGCAGCCTTTACCACGAAGCCAGCGTCTGTCTCGTGAAGCTCGACGTTGAGGGGATACTGCATTTGCATCAGCCTGTTATGACCTGTCAAAGGCCACCTCTTCGTACTCACCTGGACGAAGATGTCTTCGACATCGCCAGCATCGAAAGTCCATGGCGAGTTCTCCACGGGCTCAAGGGACTCCTGGCTAGGTTGGAACACAAACAGACCATCCCAAAGGCTGGACACTCGAAGCTCCTTCTGCATAGCGCGTAATGACGCGTGCTGCCAAGGCATAGAAGCAACGTTGGCGTCGTGAATCCGCTTCAGGAGGGTCCTGTTTGTGACACTATCCTGGAGGAGAACCCGACACGGCACCGTGTTCTGCCAGATGCCGGTTGGGCAATTTCATCTAAAACGCATACAACAGTTGGGAACACACCAGCATTGGGCCGATCACCTCTTCGGCTCCGGGAGAGTCGCGACCAGACACGACGCGGCCGAAGATGACATCTCGACAGTGAGTCAGCGCAGATAGCAACTTAGCGAATGCAGCCTGTCCGATGCATTGAGGTGTAATTTCTGCGTGGCGGCAAGCTTGGTGTATCTCTGCCCGTGCAACACGCACTGGCAGGGAGACTTGATGGACAGAGGTGTCCGCTGTACAAGATGGCTTGCGAGTGATGCGTGCGACACGAAGGTCTCGAAGATGCTTGACCCAGAAAGACGCGCCATTCTTCTCCTGCCACAGCAGGCGAGGAAGCATTTGGTGGTACTGTATGGCTGCAGGCAGCTGCAAACCACAGTACACCTCCTTGACGGCGTCAAACAACCGTGCGATGGCAAGTCCGTCGTACAAGGCGTGGTGCAGAACAAGGACTAGTCGGTGGCCATAGTCGGGAGAAGTACCCTTGAGCAGGTGCAGCATAATGGGTGGTTGACGGAAGAAGTCGCGCTCGTCTGTGAACTTCAGGAAGGGATTGAGGGACTGGGTGAGATTCGCCTCAGGGTCGTATTGCGACTCCAACCACGGGAAGGGTGCGCTTGAGTGTACAACCTGCGACCACACTCCCGCACTTGGAAGAAAATGGAAAGATGTTCGCAATATATCGAATGTGGCAATCGCCTTCTTCCACGCATCTCGCAGCCGTACGATGTCGACATCCATAGACAGGCTAAAGGGAAAGAGATGTACATATAGGCGTCCGCAAGAGCTGATTGTCTGTGCCCACGATGAGTAGCTGGGCTTATGCGAGGTAAATCAAACGTACCTGAGACAACATTCCCGCTTGTAGTATGCTGATAGGGTAGACCTGGACATTGTCGTCCGCAGAAAGCTTGATTCTCTCCGAATTCAGTGCCTCGGCTAATCTGTCGCATTCAGCCACAAACCATGCGTCGGAGACGCGGTCTGTCGGCAGGTCGGAGGACGTTGTCCGTTGAATAAGCGCCGCAAGACGCAGAGGAGTAGACAACCTCATGATATCAGCGGACGAAAGTTCCATACCTTCCGCCGACAGTTTGCGGCTAAGGCCTACGGACTTGATGGAATCTAGCCCGAGAGACAAGAGTGACGTTGTCGCCTTCACGAAGCCGATGTCCACACGGAGAAATTGCGACGCAATATCACAGATCTTCGATACCAAGTGCTGGTCGATGTCCGTCGGGTCGACAGGATCCTCACGAGGAGCGTCCGATGTTCCTTGTCGCATGGGGGACGCAAGGCTCGTGCGAGACGAGCATAGGCTCCACTCGCTGGTTTCCGCTATGCGCACCGCTGTGTCCTCCAGATGGCGCAATATGTCAACAACCAATGCGGACGAGATGTCTGATGACGTGTAAGCCGCGTGGACGACCGCTGTGTCTTGTTCGGGATCTAGGACGATCTCTACTGCTAGTATGTACTGCGGATACTAGGAGTTAGCTGATGGCGGTGAAATATATGAGTTGCGCTTACGTCGGGTTCTGGATTCCGACTTTCCAGGACGCTCCACAGCTTGCTGGCTCCCTTCGCCGTGAATGAAACGGAAAACAGCGTGTCGAACAGAGACCGATCGCCGCCCGTCGTCCATTTCTGGATGCGACTGAGAGGGACGTGTTCGTACTCGTTGACACGAGCAATGTCGCGCTGGATATTTTGTAACGCCTCGGATGAAGCGGCAAGCCGCACACGCGCCGGAACGACGGTAATCATCGGACAGATGGTGGTCTCTATGTTGTCTATTGGGAGCGTTCTTCCAGTACGGATGACCTGAGAATAGAAAGGGACAAGGTCAACACTCGGGATCTGCATCATATCTGACCAAATATACGTACTCCAAACACCACATCGTCATGGTCATAGAGATGCTGCGCAAGGAGTGAACCATATGCGCCCATGAGAAGAGCCTGGAGCGTGACCTGCTGTCGGGCAGCCTTCATCTGGAGCTCTGACAGCGAGGATACGAATGGCACCGACACAACGGAGGCCACAGCAGAGGAGGCCGTCTTGTTTAACAATCTCTCCCATGGATAGTCTTTGAGGTACGACGTCCAGAACGTTCGTGCTCCTTCCTGGTCGGTGAGTGTGATGTGCTCGAGCGCTTGCTGGAGACTCGCGGAGGGCAGCTGAGGTTGATGAATGTATTCGCGCTCCAGATCCTGCAGGAGAACAGGCAGAGATATCCCATCGTACAAGGCGTGGTGGATGGATAGGGCAGCGTATACTGTACATGATGCGGAGTTCGTGAACAAGGTTAACCGAACGGGAGGAACAATGGAGATGCTAGTGTTCAGATCACGAGCGACTATGGAGGCTTCGTGTTCGTAGAAGTATCCTTGGAAGCTGGCATCGTTGAAGTCGGGCACATCTTTCCCCACTATTCGTGGAGGACAGGTCTCGGCTCGAAGGACGACTTGTACCAGATCCGTCCCGAAGTGGAACACGGTACTGTCGGTCCATGGAAGGTGTTGAGTAAGTCAGATGGGACGAGATGGTGAGCGTGACATACCGTAGCATCTCGTGTCGTGTTATGAGGTTGCCCCAGGCACGCCGCAGACATGACACAGATGCGTCTGGCGTTAGCCGCATCAGGACATGCTGAACGTACATCGTGGGCGCGTTCGCGGATCGATAGAGGATGCCTTCTTGCACAGGGAATGGCGGCAAGATGGAAGCTATCGCATCTGGCGCATACGCTGCGACCACTTCCTCCTTGATCGAAGCAACGAACTGGGAGATATACGACGTCGCATTGTTCGGGCAAGATCCCGACTTGTCGCTGTCTATGAGAGTAGCTATGCTACTGACGGCGGGAGACTGCATGACCCGCGCTGGGGAGACAATGACATTGAACGCCCTCCGGAGATCAGCAGCAAATCGTGTGACAGCTAGGGAATCCAGGCCGAGCTCAAATAGGTTCGTGCGTGGACCGACGCGGTCAAGGGGGACCTTGACGTGAGATCCTAGGATCTCGGCGACCCTCTGTTCCATCTCGGTGAGCTTGTTGTGGCCATCTTCGGACGTTGGAGAAGACGATTCCTCATCCATGAGGCCAGTCAGAGCGTCCAAGTCCAGGCTCAAGAAGAGGGCCGTAAGAACCTTTGCATCGGCCTTTCCATTCGAGCTCAGAGGTATGAAGGTCAGAGGTATGATGTGGCTGGGTCGCATATAGCTCGCGAGCTCACGCTCGCAAGCGCCTCGGAGCGACTGCAGTAAACCTGGTGGTGAGGACGTGAGAGAAGGCTTCCCTCCCTTGCGGATGCCAACAGGGACCGAAGTATCCCAGGCAATGAATGAGGCCAGCTGGTCGACACCGATAGCAGGATGCTTTGCGAGGATGGTCATGACGTCGAGAGTACGGCTGGGAGCAGCGGCGCTGCGAATTATCGACGAGATACCTTCCGACTCGATACGCACGCCGCGGAGCTTGATCTGGGTGTCAATGCGACCGATGATTTCCAAGGTTCCATCCGCCATCATACGCACGAGATCCCCGGTCCGGTAAGCCCAACGGTCAGTACCGTCATCCGGGAACTTCAGGAAGGCCTTCTGCGTGAGGTCCGGACGACCGACGTATCCACACCCCACGAGGGGACCTTCGACGACAAGCTCGCCAATTCCGCCGCGAAGCACAATGTTCATGTTCTCGTCGACAACGAAGGCGGCAACGTTAGCGAACGGGAGTCCAATGTTCCCCCTGGGTGTGTCCTTGTCCATCATGCGTGCAGCGCAACCAATGGTCACTTCGCTCGGTCTACACCAAGCGAGCTCAGTACGTGCATGGAGAAGATGATACAAACGCGACTAACCCGTAGAAATTGGCCAAGCGGACTGTAGGATGGGATGCCCACTTGTCAAGAATCTGTCCCGATGTTAGATGGTCCATGTATATGTCAAATTTGGCGCACGTACCGCATCGCTCATCTTCTCACCTCCACTAGCAATATAGCGCAGTGATGTACTGATCCCGGAGTCCTCGGTTTCTTGCACCGCTCCCATTGTCGCCTCGATGAGACTTGGAACAATGCCCATGTGTGAAACGCGCAAATGAGTGACGTAGTACGGGAGATCCTCTAGGAGAAGAGAACGTGGCGCAGATAGGATAGGGATGCCGACCGCAAGAGCCACCATGATCTCGGCGATATGCACGTCGAACGCAACGGCTGTGGTGGGACGTCAGCGCACAGCCCAAATTTGTGTACGTGATAGCTCACTTACATGCAATGGACAGGTAATTGACTCGCCCAGTAAGAGAGAGCTCCGCCGAGGCGCAAAACTGACTCAAGGCCCAAATAGCCTCACTAAGGCCACGGTGAGTAAGGATACAACCCTTGGGTGTCCCCGTCGTCCCTAGCAGCATGTCAATGCACAGAACGTCGCATAACAATTGGAAGCCTTACCAGATGTATACAGAATGTACGACAAGTCGTCTAGCTCGGGCACCAAAAGCGCTTCCGCACTTTGCTGCTCGATTGCTTCCTGCACAGCAGAATCTTTGACGTCGATCGCGATATTTCCAAGAAGAGAGAAGCAGGGCATATCCGAAGTCGAGAGAATAAATTGTGCCTCGGAGTCTTTAGCGATGAATTGCTGCCTCTCCGCGGGAAGCTCGGCGTCGATCTGGCGAATCGAGGAAGAGTGTGAAACGTCAGCGACAGTTGCCACCATCTTGACAGATAACGTGCACATACGGGAACGTAGCACCCGCCAGCCCGAAGAACGCCTATGAACGCGATGTGGAACATAATATCCCGCTTCATGCAGATAGCGACGGAGCGCCCTTTCTGAAGCCCAATTTTGAGCAGCCAGCGACCCAACTGGTTCGCTTTCTCCTCGAGTTCAAGATTCGTGATAGTCTCCGGGACGAACGTAGAGAGAGGAACGTCCGTTGAGAGGTCGGCGAACCAACGCACGGCGATGCCATCTGGCCGTTCGGCTGCTCGTAGCGTGACATGGTCCATCGCGAACCTCGTCGGCGGCACCAAGTGATATGTGGAAAGCCGCTCTTCGAATGATTGTCTGTCATTCGACGACAGTAAAGCAGAGGGCAATTGGGGGAGGGCAGCCACAGAGGATTGCGGATTTGAGACGGCATGTGTGGCCAGCGCGATGACCTGCGACAGAATGAGAGTGCATTGCGAGCGATGGACGATACGTTCCGAGGCGGTGACCGACAAATCAGAACTCTCTTGGCCGACGACGAGTGTAATGGGAAAGGAACTACCGAGGCTGGGTGGTGGGAGAACGCCGGCACTGACAAGAGCTAAAGCGGGGGATTGCTTCGCACTCAAATCGAGCGCACCTCGAAGAAGATCAGGATGTAGCTGGGGCCTACAGGGATCTGCGATAGCCTCGCTGATTGCAGCAGTGACGTCCTCCCATGTCTGCGACTCGTCCCATGTCACTCTCACGGGAAGGATCTTGTCTCCCGGAGTAGCCAAAATACCGAGGAGAACGTCTTGACAACCACAGTAGGCTCCAAGGACGCGTGCGGTAGCTGCGACAACCGCGGCAAAGGAAAAGGCTTTGTGGTGCACAACGGTCAGGTCCAAAGGTTGCGAGATTGACTGAAGCGCATCAGGTGCGAAGCGCCGTGAGGAGAGATCAGGGAAGTCGTGGTGCCTGTAGCCTGAGAGGATTGGCTCGCAGTCGACGAGGACACCTGAATCGTCCACGGTATGTGGGGATCCAGGGGGGTGGGGAGACGTGGCCGCCATCGAGGGCAGTGCTGAGTTGGAGAGCGGGACGGTTCAGCAATCGGTCCGGGAAGACGTGTGACAAGGCGTAGCCCGTTAATAGCACTCTCCTCGCAGGGCGGGCGAACTCTTCACGCGACGGACACCGACGGAGCAGTAGAAGAAAGCTTACGAGAGTTCAAATAATAGAGCTCCAGATGGCGGATGGTTCGACGGAAGAACTTGACCGCTTAAGCGATGTATGCCAGCCTTGACCAAACCTGCACGCTGCGCCTCGCCATATGGCACATTGGGAATGGTGAGCGGAAGTGCCGAGCCTATATTATTCTAAAAGGCACAGAAAGTCTGACGAAGTGTATACCCGAGCCCAGCGGTACCGAGACGTCGAGGAGCCCATGCAGGTCGACGAGGGGGATGACGACGAAACGAGAGAGAGCCAAGAGCTGCTCATATCTAATCAGATTGTGTTGACTACTGGAAGGCGCCGGCGATAAGCTTGGCCGTGGGTAGGTGATCTTATCTGATACGCCAAGCGGGACTTGCGGTCCCCTCCCGATCTTTTGGGTCCCCTCAGGCCTTCCACTACCCCGACCACAGAAGACCCTTCTTGCCCAGACAGCCCTCAGTCGCCGTAGAGACTCTCTCTAGGCATGCCGCGTCCTACAGATCATCTCGTCCTCCCACGATTTATCGGTTTAACCAACCGAACTTCTAGGACGTGCTCGGTCGGACTCCACTACCGGGCTACCTGCAATCGTCACGCCAGCGGGCAGGAAAGCAACATGGTTGTGTCAGCCGCGGGAAGAACGCACGCGTGCCTCTCTCCTTTTCCGGCCTCTCTTTAAAAGGTTCGACGGCAATGCACGCGATGAACCCACCGACTAAACTGCCTTCCCCATCCCCACCAACTATATTCGCATCTTGGATCCGGTCTTCTATGATGTCCTCTTCAACAGCCTCCGCCACCACGTACGACGTGATCGGCCTGGGATTCGGTCCCGCTAACCTCGCCATAGCTGGTGCTATCGTCGAAAAGTGGGCAGATCCTGGTTTTGCAACGGTGAGCCGCCTCCAGACGCTTTGCCTCCTCAGCGCCTGCTCACAACGTATCGGGACGCTATCGTTCACTGTTCGATGTCCTTGTGACTAGAGCCATGCGCCTCTTCAGCAGGTTCTATTTATTGAGAAGCAGCGAGAATTCCGATGGCATCCCGGTATGCTGCTCCCTAACTCCCGGATGCAGATCAGGTCTGTAGATTGCGATTGCGCGAGTCGGAAGTCGGTGGCTAATCTCCCGCTACCAAATTAAGTTTCCTCAAGGATCTTGCGACGCTCCGCTCACCCCAGTCGCCCATAACATTTCTCGCCTACCTTCATTCCCAGGATAGGCTACTCAGCTTCATCAACCGGGGTAGCTTCACACCGACTCGCAAGGAATTCGCCGACTACCTGACTTGGGCGGCCGAGTATGTCCAGACTCGCGGCATCCAAGTGCGGTATGGTGAAGAAGTTGTCGGCATCGCTCGCTGCTCGGACGGCACGGTAGAAGTCCGCAGTTGCAACGTGGAAACAGGGGGGGAACTTACCAGACGGGCCAGTACGTCTTTCCTATCGATAGAGCATACTCCGCATCAAGGCCGCTATCTAACTAGCCCACCTTAGGAAGTATTATTCTCTCTCCAGGTGGATCGCCGAAGCTCCCGCCAGCCTTGTCCGTCCTGTGGCCGCATCCTCGGATTGTTCACACATCTTCATACATTTCCTCTGCAGACGGTTTCTTCTCCACCCTACCCCGCACTTCTGAGCCACTGCGCATCGCTGTAATCGGTGCCGGTCAGTCGTCAACTGAGATTATTCTCGATCTACACAGTCGTCTCAACGCGGTGCCTATTTCGGGCGGAAGGAAGCATGAGCTGGACATGATCTTTCGGAAGGGCTCGCTGAAGCCCAGCGATGATAGCCCTTTCTCCAACGAGATATTTGATCCGTCATGTGAGTGCTATATTTGGCTCCTAGACGGATTGAACTCTGATTTACCGAGTAGCTACCGACCTAATGTTTGGCCTCCCTACCCAGAGAGATCGCCAGCAGTTACTGCATGAGTACAGTGCCACGAACTATAGCGTCGTCAACATCCGAACCATCGACGCCGTAAGTCGTTCATTCGTTCGCGATGTGTCAGAGACTCACCCCGCCGCTGAGCAGTTGTACGAAGTCTTGTACCACCAACGGGTGCTCGATGGCATCAAAGCGCGGACCGGTCAGGACGAGGAGACGAACCGGACGCGCATCACGCTCCACCCTTACACCTCCATCTTCTCCGCAGACACCGTCCCTCCCTCTCGTGACGCTCCCGGACACGGGGAAGCGGTCCGCCTGACCATGCACGGCGTGCTCAACCGCGCCGTCACGCATAAGACGTACGACGCCGTGTTCTGCGGGACGGGGTACGACCGGGACGCGTGGATGCGGCTCCTCGCGTCGTCGAATCTCGCCGAGGGCTTCGGTATCAAGTCGTCCGCGGTGCAGCTCGTCACGGAGGCGGAGACGCTCCCTCAGTCCTTCCCGCCTCTCTTCACCGATCTTCCCGAAATCACGTCCCGCATGGCGGTGTCTTCTGCCAGCGACGGCTCCTCCACGCCCCCGACTCCTGACACCCCTCAGTCGGAGCATAGCAAGCTCGGCGGGGAGACGCGTCCTTCGAAAGTCCGTATCTCGCGGACGTACCGTCTGCTCTCGGACAAGAATCCCGATGGGCCGCGAATCTACTTGCAGGGCTGCACGCAGTCCACGCACGGTCTGAGCGAATCTTTGCTCAGTATCCTCGGCGTCCGTGCCGGGATGGTAGTGGACGAGCTTTGCGGCGCATAGAGCAACGTGGATCGTATGTATCATGCGAGTAGTATATTTGTTATAGTATCCGTATATACAAGCTTTCATCTCACTCAAAAGGAAGCACCGTGAAACACGCCGTTCTGAGCAGGATGTTCTCTTTTGGTTGTCGCCCAAGGTCACCTGTGCGGTAGTCTTCGGGTGTGCTGGAGTTCCTTCTGGGTTCATTGAGTTTCCTTTGAACACGTAATGCGGCCGTCAGGCGCAAGATGTGGTTGTTTTGAGAATAGTACCGAGGCTTGCCATCCACATGTCGGAGAGCCGGACGAACGTTGAGATCACGTTGCGCGATCGTCGAATACACTTGCCAATCTTCATGCCAGGGGCAAGATGGGCATCATTTGGCAGCTGCAGTACGATTGAGGGAGGATATGGATAGCTATCTGTGCATGTACCCCGACGCTGTGGCACAAGAGCTTGAGTCCCAAGATGGGTACACCTGAAACAAACGGACAGTCGGGAATAGGAGTCTTCGGTCTAGATCGCGAGTCGCGAAGGCTGCAATGTGCCATGCATGTAGGTTATCTTGGCGGGAATGTCAGAGGCGATCCTCCGTGCACGAGGGCGAAGGCAAGGCAGCGCGGACTGTCTTCGTCGTGGCTCGAACCCACGGCGCGCGTGGCGGGCAGGACGATGTTCGCGGAGCCTCGCGCGATCGGAGTTGCCGCGCTTGGGCATTCGATCAGCATTCGATATCGTGCGCCTACTGCTCCGCCGTGCCCGCAGTTTGGGGGTGATGTCTCTGGCGATCGCGTCGTCTGCTGGTGGCCGACACCCTCTACTACTACGACCCGTCAGCATTCTCGACAATGCGGCGGCGGCGGAGGACCACTCACTTACGAAGCTCGCCTTTCTGATGGACTAATATCTTGGCCGGCTGAACGCCCCTGACGACCGCGCCCCCCGACGTACTTACCTCGACAGTCTGCGCTACTCCCTTCTGCATGTGTCTGAGCCGTTTGCTTGATTCCGCGGCTGGTCTGCGAGCTCTGCGCAGAACCTTCGGCTTTCTGATGGGACTTGCTTTACACGCTAATTCTCCTGCTTGCCTTTGGACGCGTCCGGTCACTTTCCTGGCCGTCGTCCTCGCTCACTCCTGCAGGAGATCCATGGCCATTTCCAACGGTGTACTTTGTACCCGACCCTCGCACACTTTGTCTTCGCGCCGACCGTCAGTCGCAAGGTGCGTCAAGTTGCGGTTGGCTGGGAAGTCTTCGTTGGATTGGCCTCCTCGGGCTACTCTCTCCCACCCGGACTTCCAGTGTGGCAATAGTCCCCGAAAGGCGACGCGGGGAGACATTGAACGAGTTACAACCTCCTGAGAGTATGTGCTCTCGGTGTGCTCCTCGACTCGTCAGTCGCGACCGCCTCATCTGCCGTGTGGGGCTCGGGGCGAATTGGTCGGCTCGAGGCACAGAGCCTTGCCTCTGTGTCCGTCCCAGTCGGACAAACGCTGCACGGGGTGTGTTAGGTGACAGCTAGCCCCATGGCGCAGGCGGTCTTCCTGGAGGCCCGTCTGCCGTCGACTCTTCTCGCCTCGAGAAGGAGAATTTGGTGAGTGATCTCCTCTGCTCATGGCACGAGTATTTGGGATGGTGCAATGGTTTTCATTACATTCGTTCGATGTGGTTCGCTGGTCCTCTTGGGGACTAGATAGCCAGACTGAACAAGTCGGACGGATTGTGCAGGGGATCGCATAACCTGTTTAGGCATCGATCCTCCTCACCCTCCCTCCGCTGTTCACAGATGACTTATGCATCAGAATACCCAGTACACCTCTTTCTGACGAACTAGAGAACTTACCTTATTCGCTTCGAAGACGGCACTTGGGTGTGACACGATGTGACATCAGGTCACGCTCCCACTCGTAGCCGTTGAAGTCCAAGGGCGTTGAATGCAGGGGACGGGGGAAGGTGGATTATACATTTTTTGAAGGGGATGACCGGTGTATGGACTGGTTATTCCCGAAGGGCGCGATCTGAATCCTACTAACGGGGTTACTCACCTTCGAGTCCGCCCTGCATGATCATATACCCCGCCTCGTCCGTGATACTCGTTAGGACGCTTCTATCGGACACAGATGAGAGAGACTCGCTGCTTGAAAGTCGTAGGGTAATCCACTCCCTGTCAGTGTTGTGCGAGCAGCCTGACGGTCGGCAATCGGCAGAGGCGTCGAGATGCTGAAGATCGCCATTGCAGGTCGTCGCGCCGCAGTTGGCTGTCGTAGAGCCGCGAAGACCTCTTCCGATGGCCTGGCGCGGCAGCTTGAGCGTACATTACAGGAGCCTTGCGCTTGCCTTGGTCAAGTCCGACAGAGACATTCCTGTCACGTCGGTCAATGCGAAGGCGGCGGGAGACGGACGGGGGACACCAAGAACCAATTGAGTGGGTCCGGGTAGAAGGGCGTTCGGGGAGCTCGTCTCAGACAGCGCCCTAATGTCTGCCTGCCTCGGAAACAGGCGAGCAGTCTGCTTTCCGTGGCTGATGCGCTTTCCTCTTACGCAAGTCGCCGCCTTGCCCACGATTTGGCCTTATAATGTGTGCCCGTTCCCCGGAGCCCCTCTTCTCGCTTCCCCACTTTCCCCCTCCCCGGCCCCCTTCTTCCCCCACAACCTCGTTCGTTCTCTACTTCCCGCCTCGCTCTATCACCTAAATTAACTAATTCGCGCCTGGCGCTGGCAATGCAGCGAAGACTCGACCATTGCTTCCCCTCCTTCACCCTCATGTCCCAAGAGCTCCAGAAAGATACCCTCCGACTCCCCAGCTACCGTGAATCCGTGTTCTTTCGCTTCCACCCCTACCCACAAGCACGCCGAAGAACCGTGGACCCGCTGATGGTGAGTGCTTCCGTGAAGACGCGTCGTGAGAGCTGGTATTCAGGTTGCTGTGTGCCGAAGCGCAAAGTGGACTATCGGTCGGTCGCGGAGCCAGTTGCGAGTGCTTGCGAAGAGAGCCGTGTTGTACGTATTTCGCTTGCTCGTTTTCTCGTCGCGTTCACATGCCGACTGTCATAGCCTGAGCAAGAGGAGCAAGAGAAACAAGAGAACGAAAGTGAAGGCGCAGCGCTCTATTTAGACGTCGTCATGAATCGAGTCGAAGAGCCGCACGTTAAGAAACGTCGTAGCTTGACGTCCCTGATCATCGTGCGTCGCGCTTAAAGTCTTGCCTTCGCTGTCCACTCATGACGCCCCTCTTTTGATGATTGCAGGATCTTGCTCTCGCAGTTACAGCGGCTCGTTTGGGCAAAAGCCGGCGTTCTGCGGCGAAACTTGGTGCTGACCACTGAATCTTGCTCGTCCGCTACGTTCTCCATGTCTTGTGCACTCTGCTCACATCTTGTCACCGTCAGCCATATAATTCCTTATATACAACCAGTTAATTGATCCAAATGTATCTATACGTCGTCTTGCTTGCTCAGTCGTAGATCTTGTCGTTGTCGCTGTTGTCGTGCATGCTTTGATACAATACGACTACTTCTTGGGATTGTATTGCGTGCTTCGACGGGGCGTAACTTCGCAGCGCTTGTTTGCATTCCGCCAGTCTTCGTATTGTTGGGCTATGGAATATACACACTCAGAAGACACACGGTGATGACGTCTGCTCACACAGGATTGCCTCCGACGAGATTGAGCTCTTCGATCTTCCTGCCCACAATCTTGCCGCTCTTGCACAGCGCTTGTGTCTTCTAGTTCACACTGCTCTACGTTGACGTCACTTTGAGGAACTCAGGCTTGACATTGGCCAACGCTTGGGGACTAGAGTTCATGAGGTTGGGTCACGACGAAGTCTTGTCACGCTGCAGCTGGACAGGAGTCGATGTTCTGGCTTAATTTGAGGCCGCTTGAGCTTGAAGAGCTTGAGGTGGTTGATAGCACACGAGAACAGTAGGGGACAACGATGACATGAGCTTCGGCGACGCAACGCGTGCGAGACAACGTCGCGGAGGAGGTGGGAAAGGTCAACGATACCGAAGGCTGTGACCCAACCTGATACAGCGATGTTTGCGTGTGTTTGTCTTCCTAAGAGCGTCTAAGATTGGCCCGGTGCACAATCTACTGCTATGTCACGGCGTTACGAAGCACGTGAAGCAGGGCGCCAAACATATTAACTTGTTGATTAAAGCCGATAAGTAGGTGGGAGTGTCGCGCAGAGGAGAGAGTGGTCAATGGCATGACTGGACAGGTATACAAGTAGAGGGGAATATGTAGCAATAGCGGAGCACACATAGTATAGTTATAAACACGAATAAAGATAATGGAGTAGGGATCATTAGTTGTCCGGAGTGATGCCTTCCCGATCGAGCTCCTCAAGAATGTCGTTTGGAAGGACGCGGTGGCTACGATATTTCTTCGCGATGCCCAGCTGGGCCGGGAAGCGCACCTCCGATGCCAATGGCAGCACATTCTCCTTGTCTCCGGTTCCTCGGCTCCTTGCAGGTT